AGCGCGCCACCACGCAGAGTTCCTGGAGCAGGGCGGCGTGGAGATGTTGGGGTTCCTCGCCTCCTCGAGCTGCCACTGCGCGAGCCACATGCTTGATGACAATGGCGGCCCCACTGTCCCAGGTACCAGTCGACTCCAGGACCATCGGCACAAAAACCACTCCGTGAGCCTCACAAGCACGGGCAGTGTTGAGATGTTGTTCCTTGTGTCTGGCATACGCCGCTGCTGCCGCTCCAGTCTGCAGACCCGCTGCAGCCAGGGTCTCCCGCCGCTGTGGTGCCGTGACGGCAAAGTCAAGGGCAGCGGGAGACCCAGCCAGAGCGGGCACGTAGATGTCAGCAGGGCGCCTGCGATTGCTGTGCGTGTCATCCGGAGACTGGGGAAGCAAAAGGCCAGGCCGCTCTTTTCCGGATGGAGCCCAGCTTTCTCCAGCCATGTGCAGAAAAGGCCCCGGATCGCATTGTGTCATTGGGTTCGCTCACCCCCCGCCACACAAACAGCGGCGTGGTGGCCGAAACGGTCCAGAACTGCATCACACCGAGGGCACCAGCAATCTTCAGCAGCATCCGGCACGCCCAGGCGCAGCCGCAGTTCAGCTGCAAACGAGGCTGGCTCCATGCGAGTCCGGCCTGAAGGCGGGGCTGCCAGGAAAGCCCGTGCTCCAATGCCAGCCTCCGACCGTAATGCGGCCTTTTCGGCAGGACTAGCTTGCGCCAGCTGCGCCTCCCAGCCAGCTTTGTCCAACCGACTGGAGAGGTCATGCTGATTGGCCGCAAAGGCGGCATCCAAAGTTAAAGCCTCACTGTCAGGTAGCCGGCTGTTGAAGGCCTGCAACGCAGACGTAACCTCTGGCGAGGCGCGGACCACTGCGGCTGAGAAGGCTGACAATATTTCAGCGCATCCATCCAAATTACTACCCAACGATGCCAAATAGGCCGCAGGCGCATGCGCCTGGCTGCTGCGGAGGCCAAGGCCGGCCTGGGCCACGCCGCGGGCCGCCTGACCCCATTGCTGCGCAATTAGGTGTATGCCTGTAAGATGCCCAAAGCAACGCTGCACCATGCTGTCAAAGAAAACCAAGGCCTCCGTCTGAGCAGCTGGTGGGTTGCATCTCATACTATGAACCATACGTGAAAACCCAGCGCATGCTCGCACGAGCCGCAGGCCAACTTGCGGATCCTCCAGCTCCGCCAAGGCGTCCAACAACTCACCGGCCTTGGCCGCGCGCTCAGCAGTGTGTGCGCGCAAACATAGCTGTCCTCACCTACAGCGGCCCCTAGGAACTCGAAGTTGTTCAGCACGCGGTTGGCCCCGGCATCGTCCACTAACAGATCAGCAGGGAAATGCAATTGAAGGGCCTGCATGGGTGGGGAACCTAGCACAACCAATTCACACTTACTAAGGTTCAGCTCAAGGCCTATGTTAGCAGCGTTACAGCGCAGTGCCCACGGCAGCCATGTCACCCGCCAGGACACCGTCGTCCAGGAAGTGAACTGCCAAGTCCAGGGACCCATTGCGAAGGGCTCTAGCCAGTGGCTGCAGCGCCACGGAGAAAAGCAGAGGTCGTAGGGGATCTCCTTGTGGAATTCCTGTAGAAGAGTGCAGCACACGGTCACCAAACTGCAGCCGGGTCGGCTGGCGGTAACACCAAGTTGCCCATCGCGCCAGAGCAGGGAAGTTGGCAGCACACTCCTGCAGCACCGCATCCCTGCTAACACAGTTGAAAGCATTGCGAAAGTCCAGCTTCAGGAGCGCCTTTTGGGATGCGCCGGCATGCTGCTGCGTCCAGGCCCGCACGGCATGCACAGCACGCTCAGCTCCACCTTTGACTGCCACACCAACCTGAGCAGGCCAGAAAAAGGCCTGGGCATCCTCCCTGACCTGCGTCATCAAGCATTTTCCAGTAAGCCGACGGAGGATTTCGCCCACGGCAATGGGACGCACTCCACCCTGCGGCTTTGGCAAAGTAACGAGGCCAGCTCCAGCCAAGACAGGTGCAACAAAGCTAGGAGCCCTTCCCTGCGCAAGTAAGCTGACAACCTCAGCCAGTTGGGCCAGGAAGCTGTCGCTGTTGCCTACAACACAGGCGTCTCGCAAGTGTTGCGCACGAAGACCAGTAGGCCCAGGAGCAGCCTCCAGTGGAAAGGCCCGCAGGCACCTAGCCACAGTGTCAGGAGCAACACCCGGCGGCAGCGGGAGCTCAAAAATCGCCTGTACGGTGGGAGCCGGGCAGCTAGGGTGCAAAGCCGCCAAAGCACGTGCCGTCTCTTCAGACTGCGGGCACAAGCCCTTGGACAGCAAAGCTGCGCAGGCCTTGCGGTCGAAACCTTCGCGCGCCCAGCTGGTTGCAATGTCCCGCCGCTCAGCTGGCGTGAGCGGGCCGGAGCGCCCGGCCCGGCAAGGAGGGCGCGACTCCCACAGTGACTGCCGTTCGCCTTGTTGCCATCGCTGCAGCCTGTCCAAAACAAACGCAGCCACTACCTTGTTGTGTTTCCGGCCTCTTCGCCCTGGAGCACATAGGACACATTTAGGAAGCATCAGCAGCTCCCGCCAAGCCTCAGCATCATTGCGGTGAGCCACGGCAGCAAGGGCTCTGGTCAAGACCTGGTTCCAAGCGTGCCTGGCAGCAGCCGGGACGTGTCGCAGTGTAGCTGTCCGAGCCGCTTGAATTGCCTCCATTGACGGCGCATCCAGGTCCGCGTCCATGGCGTTGTCAGCAACTGCTGCTGCCCGTGCCTGGGGTCGGCAAGTTGGGTGGATGCCACGCCGGTCTGAAACACTGAGGCCGCACACTACGCACCGGATGCGGCCGCGGGCCTCCAACCAAGCAGCTGGCACGTCGCCCTCCAAGGCTCCAGATAAATGAGAATCAACATGGCTCCGCATGCTGCTGTCGTTGGCCCAACCTTTGGCACGCGCGGGATCGGCACAGCGGCACCCAGGCACGGGGCAATACACCCGACCCAGACGCCCAGCGGGTCCCACCCCTGCAGAGGCAGAAGCGGCTGCAGGCCCGGGGTGGCGACCTCTCACGAGCAGGCCTTTCCGACCCAAGCGGTGTGCCAGGCTCAGGCCCCGGGTTGTCGGCCTCTCCAATGCGCCGCCCTCGCAGAGGCCACCCAGACCATAGCCGCAAAGGTTTAGATGCATAGCTCCAGCTGGCCCGCTGTTTGTCGAAGAGGTGCCCACGCTTCCGGCGCCATCGCACCTGTGGCCGAGGACATTGCAGCCACTGAAATACGCATCCCACTGGCTCGTCAGGCTGGCTGGAAGTCTGCGCATTCAGGTACCGGGTCAATTGCCGGCGCTGATGCCGGTTCAATGGCAATGGCAAGTCTGCCACTGTGAAGCTCCCAACGTCATCCCACAGACCACCATCCTGCACGAGAGCCCAGCCACTGAGGAGCAGTCCCAGAAAGGCCTGAAATCGCGTCTCCCCCGGTGAAGGGGCCATGGCTCAACCCAGATTTGAAATCGAGTCTATAATCTATTATTTAATCATATTATAAGGCAAAAAAATATCCAAATTGAAGTAAATAGAGAATAAGGGGTCTCATCTCATCAATATTTTTTGGAATTGATTAATTTCAAAAATTCTTGAATATATCTAAAAAAGATATTTCTATATATAGATAGCTCTTGATAGATAAGAATATAAATATATTCGAAAAAAAAGGACAAAGGGCTCGAGGATTAAGCGCAAGCTAGTCAGCACATACCATGCCGTACTACACCCCTTGGACTGACCTGGATCAATATGATTATGATACTGGGTATGATCTTCGCGCTTTCCATAGTGAACAGCGTTGGGGCTACAAACCACCTTGGCGTAGAGACTACCAGACCAACTATCGACGGCCGATGTGGAGAGACAGCTCACGAGGAAAAGGGACCAAGGGTAGCAAGGTCGATTTCGCCGGCCACAACACCTACATCATGTGTCAGAGCTGCGGGGATTGGAAATGGATTAACCGTTTACACAACATGCATAGATGTCCGTGTGGAGCGAGTTGGACACCTGAAATCCTCGACAAGTTCTACGCCACATATGGCACTTTTCCCCCGTCATCGAGTCATAGTCAACTACCCTATCCCCAGGACTTTTATGGCAAGGGCAAGGGCAACAGGGCACGAATTGTGGAAGGCAAAGCCTCAGGTGAAGGGCAACCCCACATGTTACCGCTGCCTCGAACCGCCGTGCAGCAAGAAGAACAAAGGCACCCACGTGAACCACACATTAGCCTGGGTGGGTCGACGCCCGATATGGTGGAACTCCCACCGGAGGTATGGGAAGTGTGGCACAACCTTTGCAATCACATCCTCGCCCAGTATGCACCTACAGGAGCCCTTCGGGAGGAGACCACCTCCCTTATGCAGAAATTCAAGCCCAGGGTGGATCAGGCAGCACTTGCGCAAAAGAACCTACGTGAGGCGCAGTCCACAGTCAGGCAACTCGGCAACAGGCGTCACCTTCTACAACAACAATTGGACAAACTGCAGGCACGGCAGCAAGAGTTACAGCACAAGATTCAGGATTTGGACTATGAACTGGAGGAAGCGGTCAAAGTCCAGCAGCAAGCTACGACTGACTATAGCACATATGTCCTACGTTCAAAGCTACTCGATCCAGATGTGCCAAAGCTCCAAGACTTGTCAGCCAATGACCTTGAGCTTCTCGGTGACATCCCGCGCCTGCAAGCCTTGCTTAGAGAGGTTGACTCTACACTGTCTGAAGGGCAACGAAAAAGATTCCAAGATCTTCTCCAGGATGCGGAATTTGCCAACCTCTTTGCCAAGCGCAGGAGACAAAACCAAAATCATGAAAGCGCTGCAGAGTGGGAGGATGCCGCTATGTACGGCGACGACCATACAGACACTGACGCTGAACAAGCTGAGCGCCCTTCGCAACCAACACCAGGGGTTTAGCATTTTGTGCGAGGCCAACAGCACACCTGCTTCTAGTGGTGCCAATTTTCCGGGCTACCATCCCAGACAGCAGCGCTGGGAGGGCAGCCATCTTTTAACACCAGATGCAAATGTGCAACCTGAGCAAATGGAATGGAAAGTTAGAGCTTTAACTCCTACTGAGCAATTGGATAATGCCATTCAGGAGCTGAAATCACAGGCGGCTGGAGACCTTGAAGAACACTTTGAGGCTACGCGTGGCCCTTTCTCGATACTCTTTGGTAAGATTATATCTTGGTCCCAAGCCACCCAGCAATTTTTACGAGCTCCTGTGCACCATGCGGTGCTTCTGGTCGAACACAGACAAATCGATACTGACGAACTTGAAAGCCAATTTCAGGCCGCTGGCTATCATATTTCAGCGCACTCAGCAGTAATTAAAGAGGTAGGCCTATCTAGTGGGGTCGCAATAGCCACCAAGTCGTACTTAGGAAGCAAACCCCAGCCAGTGGGTGGAGAAAGATGAGCGGCCAAAATGATTCGCTTCAAACGCTTCAATTTAGCCCTTTTAGTAGCTTATCTCCCAGTCCAAGGCCCAAACTCCTTTGAATACAAGGATGTTCAGCTGGAAATGTCGGCCTATGTGCGCGCATTGAGCTACCCGTAGATCATGTTTGCTGACTTCAATTGCTCCCCTGGTGAACTCAATAGAACTGGGTGGCCAAGACTTATAGGAGGGCAGGTAGTTTGCACGTCAGAGGCAACCATTAGCACTGGGAATATTCTTGATTATGCAGTTGTTTCCAAAGATCTTGAAGGCATCCTCAGGCTCGACGTTTGTCATGAGGTGGCTTGGAAGCCACTTTATGATGTAATCGGGCTCTTTGACCGAGAAGCCTTGGCAGCTAAAATACCCACGCTCACACAAGTCTCCCTGCAGTTGCTTGCTGGGCCTCGCCCAGGTTGGAATAGTTTTCTAGACAATACCGACCATGCCCGAAACCTGAATGACGGATACTCGCAATGGTGCACACAGGCAGAACGATATTTGTGCCACACTGATGGAAGTGACTTGCAGGGGCTAGGCCAACGACCCCGCATAATATATGCAAGCAGGGTTGCGGACCAGGCAGTTGATCAAGCTTATAAGGATACCCATGTCGGCTTTTGGTTGAGCCTGCAACGATTGATGAGCTACTGCCTAAAGCTACCGGAGAACAAAACGCAACAGAGGGCATTTCTGTCTTCAAAAATTGTGGCTTTAAGCGAGCGGCTTGTCATGTTTTGGGAAACCCCAACAATAGACGCTGAAAGTGAAGCGCACTGTCCGGTAATGCATGACCCTCATGGCGTGTCACGAGAGGTTTTCTGTACCATGTTAACATTTTTGCTTGGTCTGACTGAGGAACAACAGGATGCGCTTCTGCAGACAGTTCATGCAAGAGCCACGCATGCAGTTCAGCATTCGCATTATATTAAACGCTCTGAGTTGAACAAGCGAGTGAATGCACTAGGAGCCTCGCATAAGCACCTGAAAGGACATGAAGCCACGACCGAACGGCCCTTTTTTAACCTGACTAGTCGCCTTCGGCCGGAAGCCCGAAGAAGTTATTGGGTCGGGATCTGGGGAGATGTTAAGCACGACAAGTTCATGAGCAAAAAATTGCAGCATCTTGCCTTGAATCAAGCTGAAACATTGAAACGCATTTCATCAACGCAGATCCGTCAAACGTTGCGACACATGAAATCAAAAAAGGGCGGGTGGGATGGATAGACTCTTCCGGCCTTGATTTCGTTGCCAGATGAGGCTCTGAGCGGCTTGAGTTGGCTCTACCATACAGTGGAGCAAAATCTGGACTGGCCTGAAGGGGTCAAGTATATTAATATGGCCCTTCTCCCGAAGAACCAAGATGCCGAGCGCCCCATAAGTCTGACTTCCTATATATACCGGTTGTACATGAAACTGCGGGGTCATTTGGTTGATGCGTGGGTGCAGCAAATTAGCCCTTGTTCGCCATGGGATGCGGCAATCCCTGGCGGACAAATCTTTGAAAGTCTTCTAACACGCATGTTGAAAGGTGAACTTGCAATTCAAACCGGCAGTTATCACGTTTGTTTGTTGTTGGATTTAAACAATTTTTTTGAATCTATTGATAGGGATTTATTGATGGAGGAGGCTCTTGAGTTAGGCTACCCACCTTTGCTTTTGCTGCTTTCAATGATAGTCCATTCCAGCTCACGCGTGTTGCTTGCTGAAGGGCAAGCATCTACGCCCATATATCCTCGTATTAGCATTCTTCAAGGCTGTCCCAGCTCCGTTGCTCTTGCAAAGGCGTACCTGTACCGACCCCTACACGCCTTGAAAGAAGCCTTCCCTGAGGCGGACATTTCAAATTGGTTGGATGATCTGGCTTTTGACCACGGAGGGCATGACATGGAGCCGTTAGTTGAAACCATGACGTTGTTGTTTTTGCAGATCCAGCGAGCGCTACGTAGGCTAAACTTGAGTATCAATATGAAAAAGTCAGGTTTTCTGTGCAGCCATGCATGTGTTAGGACGGCTCTGCGGCAGTATCAGCGACAACATTTTCCATCGCATGGGTTCCCAAAATCCCTTGATTGCATCCGTGATTTGGGCATTGATAATACAGCTGGTAGGCTGCGAAGATTACCTACTAGCAAGTCCAGGATCACCAGAAGCTTAAGAAGGGCTGCCCGACTTTCCCAAACTCCTCGTAGGTTGCGGAAGACTCTGGTTCAAAATAAGATTTTGGCTAGTGGGCTTTGGGGCATGCAAGGGATGGGCTTGGCTCCAACTACGCTGCGCATGTATCGTGCAAGGATTGGTCGGTCAGGTGGGTTTGTTCGCAAGCTTGGTTGCCTCACGACTGGTTGGCGGCTCTTTTGTTCCCGTGCGGTGGACCCTGTGCACAAAACCCCTATGCAACAAGTAGCCGGATTTTTCGATGTCTTTCATATTCTCAGCCCCAAATGGAAACAGCAGACTCGGAAAGTATGGCGCATCAGCTATCATCTGATAGTCAATAAACTTAGATATTGGCATTACGCATGCGGCCCTCTTAACTCTTTCATGTGCCGTCTAAAAGACCTCAAATGGCATACTCCAGATTTGCAAACTTGGTATGACAGTCATGGTGCTGCACATGCCGTTGACATTGACAGACCTCTTGCGCTATCCCAGTTGGGTTATCTTTTAGAGCAGTCCCAGGAGGAACAACTGTGGTTGCACGTTTCGCGTCATATTGGGAGGAAGGATTTGGAGCAAGGTGCCGACCTCACTGTAGCAATCAAGCATTTATAGCACCTTACTTGCTACAAACAAAAACGCGCCCTTCTAGCTCTTGTTCAAGGGAGCATACCATGCCTTGAGAATAATGTCATGCCGGTATATCCGTTCTGTCATGGTGAAGCAAGCCTCTTACACCTACTGTACCATTGTGCTGAGTTGAATAAAACCTATGGTATAGCCCCTGCTAAATGGTTGGCTGAGCTGCACATCCCTGACAAGCATTGTTACTGGCATCGCAC